AGCATCAAATTTTCATATAAATATCAAATCTTCAAATTCTTTATTCCCAGCATTCATAAACATCCCCAGCTACATTTCTTATTGTTTTTACACTGTTTCATTTTCAATAGCAATCATCCTAGATGCTGTGGTTAATGTGCAGTGAGGAGAGAGGGATGTGGAAGAGTGAGTTCATAAAAATATTTGTAAGTACAGTAGTTATGAAGTTTTAACTAACGATGTGCTGGCCACCAGTTGATGGTGAAAAAACAGAGGTGGAGGGCTGTGAGAAGCCAGCAGTCTGAGGTAAGACTGCTGTGTATGCAAAATTTCAAGTGTTATTGTTTCACTGGACTGTAACAAAACTTCTCACTGAAGAAGTTTTTTGATACTATTTCTAAATGGTGTCTTAAGACACTCTTAAAACTCTCACAACAAAAAGATGTGCTAAATGAGTAGAGTGATTGCTATAACTACCTGTACATAAAGAACGAAGAGACAAAATACCGGGACTGGAACAATACACAAATAACTCGCACATAGGAGAATGAAACTTTTGGGAACATTTTGGTCTGATTTGGACCTTTAACTTTTTGACTGTTTCAGTCGTATGTATACGTCTTACGAGCCACCATTTTTGACATATATATACACCTACCATCCAACTTACGACCAAGCTTGGTTCCGACCAACCGGTCTTAAGCCGAAATGGACGTAAGTCAAACCTTTGAAAATTGCCGACATACTGGGTAGGGCATGATGTCAAAACTTTCCTATATAAACTACCTACATAATACTGTAATGCAATATACAATCATTATTTCATTCTTTTTACCATAATTTACTTCTATTGTTGTATTTTAATTATTTATGTACTGTATATAAAGTATACATGGTAGTGATATGTATTGTAAATTTTACATCGCATACAGTATCATATGTTACTATTATCTTTATGTATTGTTGACACAGTGGAATGGGAGAATACCACTGGTAGTGTCATCCTGGCAGAATGTTGTGTAACCTATACCCTAAGTAAAGAGAAACAACTCTGGAACATGTGTAATACGTATCCGGCTGGCTGGCTGGGTGGCCGGGTCTGTGGTTGGCCGGGTGGGTGGCTGGCTGGCTGGATGGGTGGGTGGCTGGCTGGATGATGGGTGGGTGGGTGGATGGGTGGGTGGGTGGGTGGGTGGGTGGGTGGGTGGGTGGGTGGGTGGGTGGGTGGATGGGTGGGTGGGTGGGTGGATGGGCAGGTGGGTGGGTGGGTGGGTGGGTGGGTGGGTGGCTGGATGGATGGGTGGGTGGGTGGGTGGGTGGCTGGATGGGTGGGTGGTTGGCTGACTGGCTGACCGAATGTGGCTGTATCTTTGTATCTCTCTCTGTATCTCTCTCACTGGTATATGTAAGTCAAGTTACCATACATATTATAAATTACCTAGGATAACCAAAAAAATCCAGACAAAGTGCTATACAGTGGATCTGTGCTCCAGTGTCCTAAATTAATAATCATTATTATTACAATAATACATATGTACTAATATTAATATTATTATTATTAAGCTATAATATAATAATCGTGTCCACTCATTACTTACCTTAAAATATTTTTTTATTATTATCACACTGGCCGATTCCCACCAAGGCAGGGTGGCCCGAAAAAGAAAAACTTTCACCATCATTCACTCCATCACTGTCTTGCCAGAAGGGTGCTTTACACTACAGTTTTTAAACTGCAACATTAACACCCCTCCTTCAGAGTGCAGGCACTGAACTTCCCATCTCCAGGACTCAAGTCCGGCCTGCCGGTTTCCCTGAACCCCTTCATAAATGTTACTTTGCTCACACTCCAACAGCACATCAAGTATTAAAAACCACTTGTCTCCATTCACTCCTATCAAACACGCTCATGCATGCCTGCTGGAAGTCCAAGCCCCTCGCACACAAAACCTCCTTTACCCCTCCCTCCAACCTTTCCTAGGCCGACCCCTACCCCGCCTTCCTTCCACTACAGACTGATACACTCTTGAAGTCATTCTGTTTCACTCCATTCTCTCTACATGTCCGAACCACCTCAACAACCCTTCCTCAGCCCTCTGGACAACAGTTTTGGTAATCCCGCACCTCCTCCTAACTTCCAAACTACGAATTCTCTGCATTATATTCACACCACACATTGCCCTCAGACATGACATCTCCACTGCCTCCAGCCTTCTCCTCGCTGCAACATTCATCACCCACGCTTCACACCCATATAAGAGCGTTGGTAAAACTATACTCTCATACATTCCCCTCTTTGCCTCCAAGGACAAAGTTCTTTGTCTCCACAGACTCCTAAGTGCACCACTCACTCTTTTTCCCTCATCAATTCTATGATTCACCTCATCTTTCAATCTTAAAATATCTGTAGTTTTAATGTAGAGTAAGAGGTGAGTAAACAAGATTAAATGAATAAATGAGAGAGAGAATGAGGAATGTAGAATGTTCACGAGTTTTGTAAACAAACGTTGTTGTTGTTGTTGTTACCAGCCCCGACACGAATGGTTCCTGTTCACTGTCAAACTGACCAGGAAAACATCTCATACTTGTTAATTTATGTTATGTAACATGTTTATTATATAATTTTGAAAAAAAATCATAGATGGATTAAGCAAAATGTCTATATTAATGTTTTATACACATTTAATGTGCCTCAGTGATTATTATTATTATCATTATTAATATGGCATCTTCAAGGCCAAGTACACTCTTAATGAGTGGCTCTGAGACAGACAAGCAGACAAAGACAGACACACAGGTAGACAGAAAGACAGACACACAGGTAGACATAAAGACAGACACAGGTAGACATAAAGACAAACACAGGTAGACAGAAAGACACACAGGTACACAGAAAGACAGACACACAGGTAGACATAAAGACACACAGGTAGACAGAAAGACAGACACACAGGTAGACAGAAAGACAGACACACTAGTAGACAGACAAACAGACACACAGAGATACAGACAGATATACAGGCAGACAGATACAGACAGGTTTATGTGCAACAGTGAAAACAAATAGAGAGTTTGAGAGTAAGAGCCTTTCTTGTCACAATCTCCAGTGCAAGATTCAGACTTCATCTTAGGGGCCATGGTGAAATTTACTGTCCAGTTAGTACAGTTAATACAGTATGATGCTGCTGATAGGACAGGGTTACTCAAACTGATGCTGCCTGCATGACACATTGCCCCCGCGAGTATTGTCAAATATTGTACAGTGGTGTGCATCAGCCGGCCCAGCCCAGCTGCCAGATGCACGGTCGTAAGTCGAGTGGACGTATGTCGAGCAGGTCGTAAGTCCGATGGTAGGTGTACTCATAAATTCTAGCAGCTTCAAATCAAGCAGGAGAAAGCTGGTAGGCCCACATGTGAAAGAATGGGTCTGTGTGGTCACTGTGCACCATATAAAAAAATCCTGCAGCACGCAGTGCATAATGAGAAAAGAAAAACTCCGACCATTTTTTTAATTAAAATGCAGAATTTGTGGTCTATTGTTGTATGGTTGTATTCTCATTTTCTTGGTCTCATTTGATAGAATGGAAAACATATTATAGAAATAGAAGTGATTTTGACTGGTTTTACTATGAAAAGAACCTTGAAATGGAGCACAAAGTAGGGGAAATATTTGATTTTTGCCAATGTTCAAAAGTAAACAAATGATGTCATTTTCCAATAAATGTCCAAGTAGCCATTCTCATATGCAGTCATGAATGGGTTGACATTATTTATACAATTATTACAATATTGCAGTAGTCTGCATAACAGTAAATCTTTTATTTTTTGTTTGAATAAAAATTCAAAATAGAAAGCAAGAGTAATATCCGAAGGGCCTGGAGACGTGACTGATGAACATAGAAAATGTTATTTTAGAGCCAGGAATGTCTGCATTGTTCATTCTGGACCTTATTTTGAAACTGTCATATTTTTTAATTTTCGTGAAATTGGCCAAATTACAAATTTCTGACCATGTTATTGGGTAGTTGAAATTGGTAAATGGGAAGTTTCTTGTACTCAATCGATAGAAAAATGGAGTTCTAAAGAAACAGCTATGAGTTTGGTCGACTGGAACAATGGAATTAGCTGAAAATAGGGCTCAAAGTGGGCATAATCGCTGATTCATAAATATCGCCAAGATCGCTAACTTCACGAGAGCGTAATTCCATCAGTTTTCCATCAAATTTCATTCTTTTGGTGTCATTACAATCGCGAAAAGATTCTCTATCATTTCATAAGAAAAAATAATTTTTTTTTTTTTTTAAATTTTGCGATACCAGGAGACACCTCAGGATATGGGGTTGCGACAGTCAAGGGGTTAACTAGTCACAAAACATCATGATAAGTTTCATTCTCCAACATACAGGTTGTCTGTGTACCTGTAAATAACTTTTTTAATCATATTTTTATATTGGTGTGGTATGTTTGCACAATCCAAATATTTGCATTCAAAGTTACCTTTTGACACTGCTGCCCTAGCCCAGTCTCAGATCAGGCTTCCTGAGTTGATAAATATTTCAGGAATAGAAATAACTAAGAAACACATGTTAGGTAAAAGGACACAAGTACAACTAATGCAAAACATTGCCACAATAAAATGTCACATTAGATGCACTTGCATCCTCTTACCTAATATATTGTCGGTAATTCTACCAACTTTAATACAAGAAGCACATGGAAGAGCAAAGACAATAATTTATTAAATATAAGTAAAAAACTGTAAGATTTACCAGGCATCTTACAGGTACAGGTTCACAACCCTTTATCCAAAATTCTGAAATTGGAAAAGTTCCGAAAACCAAAGGTTTTTCGTGGAGTGTGGAGCATCCGTCATCTCAGTGCTGGGTCACGCCGCCACATGGTGGGGTTGAGAATCATTCTGAACGTCAAAAAATTCTGAAATTCAAAACAATACTGGTCCCAAGGGTTTCAGATAAAGGGATGTGGACCTGTATTATTACTCAAGAGAAAACATAGCCTACCAGTGACCTCCAACTCGAGCATATTCCACAGGATGAGGCATCAGACAGGCTACAAACACCTCAAAGTGGGTCTTACACACATCTTGGAGCCAGTTGTGGATATTTTCAGATTTAAGCCTCTCAATTGATGTCCCTTGCTGATCTAAAATATTTAAAAAGAATTATCAAAATAATTCCACAAAGTTAATCCTTTAAAACATCATAAATATTACTGCATATATAGAATGCAATCATGGGTTGAATTCCATTTTTATTTAAAATCTGCAAAAAACTGTCATGACACAAGGAAAGTTACACAGAAATAAAATAAAATAAATAAAAAAAATAATAATTTCATTAGGGGAGACCAATAAAGAATAAGAAATTATACATGACTCAGGTATCTACAATCTTACTGCAATGCATTACATGAAAAAAGGATGAGGTAAGTATGGAAGTGATTACTAACCATCAGGGAGATACTGCGTGGCATTGAACCAATGACACAGAGCCGCTAAGATACGTCCCAGCATCTCGATAGGTGTATCTGGTGTTGGTGCACACAAACCCACAATAAGCCACACGCCATAGCGACTAAGTAAGCGGCTCTCTTCTGGAGATAAGCCTTCAGTCTGTTTGAGAGCCCAGAAATGCAGGTTCCAGACAAATAAAATGAAAAATAGAGATGAAAGGAATAAGAAACATGCTTTGTTAACTAAGCTCCATATGGGACCTGTTTCATGCAGGGACAGTCAGATCAGTAGTTAAATTGGAAATGGTGAGAGCAACATTAAATACTGTACTCTATGAAAGATGCTCGATAATAACCCACATGGAGACAGAAACTCAAAAGATTAATTGATCTGCATATTTCAACCCCCTTCTGGAATCCTCTTATTATTGAGCACTGACAAGTCTTCATTACACTTTAGTTATTCTACATAAGACATTTACATGGTATTTCAACAAAAGCTTCAGTACAGTATATTCAAAAGAAGAATCAAAGTTTATATGATATTCAGACATTAATTATTCTGTTCAATTTGAATGACAGGTAAAAAGAAAAAAGACAAACAAATGTTTGAGAATACAGCTTAGTAATACTGAATTATTTTTTAACACACCAGTCATCTCCCACAGAGGGAATAAGCCAGCTGAGTATACTATGAAAATTTTATGGCAGAATTATTTTTGAGTTGGGACAACACAGAAAGTAGGACTGCAGATGCACTACTAGGATTTAAGAGAGGTAGGGAATGTGTAGACCAAATGTCTACACTGAGGTAAATAAGTCAACAACATTTAGAAAATGCATATGAAAAGGTGGACAGGGAGCATGGCTCAAGTTAGGATATGCAGATGAAACCAGGGATGGAAGGGATTATTTTCCAGCGAAAGTATGACTTAAGGTGTGTGATGTCATAATAGTTGCCTAATGTATTAGTAGATGGGATTGCAAAACAAGTCAATGTAAAGTCATTAGTGAGAAGTGTGGGATTAAAAAAATGATGGTTCTGATTCAAAACAGGAGCTGTCACAGTTGCTTTTTGCCAATGACATGGTTCCTTTTAGAGATTATGAAGAGACTTGCAAAGGTTGGTGGATGAATTTGGGAGGGTATGTAAGAGAAGAAAACCTCTTAGCTTTTGGTGATCGAAATAATGGAGCAATTTGGATGTGCCTCTACTTTGTTATGGACTGGCCCTTTTTAAGTCCTTTTTCACTCCTATGACTTTAGCTGTAATATTCACATTTTTTTATGATTTCTTGAAAGTGAGTCCATACAGACATCATTCCAACTTATAGGCAATCATGAAAAATTAGGAAACACACTCTCTCAAGTCTAGAGCTACACTGTTTCACATCTCAATGCCTCATTTTCCTTGGGAAGGAGTTAGAACTCTCTGATTAGACACCTGAGGATAAAGAAAACTTTCCCTACTAGCTAAAGACAATCTCACCACTTTCATTTACCCTGCTTGGGGTCTAGAATTTTCCAAAGCCCCCCTAGATGTGAACCCTGTAAAAGCCCTTGGAGTGCAAAAAGAGCTAAAAGTAAGCATGAAAAAGAGCAAGGTGATTGCAGGTAACAAAAAAAAGTCTAGATAATGAAAGAATATAAAATTGGAGGGAGTATAGAGGAAGTAGAGAGAACATATCAACAGATGTGTCTATGAAAGACAAGGTGAACCATAGAATAGATAAGGGTGGGAAAGTAGGTGTGCTGAGGTATCTGTGGAAAAGTTTATCTATGGATGTAAAAAAAAAAGGGAATGTACTTGCGTATAGTGGTATCAACATTCTTATGGGTATGAGGCATTGGTTTTAAACACTGTAGCATAAAGGAGAACTAGAGGCAGTGAAGATGTCATGTTCTTGAGAGAAATATGTGATGTGAATATTATGCTGAGAATTTAGAGCATAGAAACGGAAAGACAATGTGGGGGTTACCAAGGGTATAAATCAGAGCTGAGGAGGGATTGTTGAGGTGGTCTGAGTATTTTAAGATAGAGGAATAGGATGACAAAGAGGTTGTATAAATCTAGAGTGGAAGGTAAGAATAGGGGTTTTCCTAGTGGATGGAGAGAGGAAGTAAAGTAAGCACAACCTGCACATAGGAGAGAGAAAAGCTTATGATGGCATTTCAGTCCATCTTGGACCATTCACAAGTCACACTGTGAATGGTCCAAGATGGACCAAAACATCGTTATAAACTTTTCTCTCTCTTATGTGCAGTTATCTGTGTATTGTTCCAGTCATGGTATTGTGCCTTTTTTGTTCTTTAAAGTAACCTTAGGGTGCCAGGGGCTTCAACATCCATCAGGCTAATGTGTATTATGAAGAAGCAAGGAGAGTCAAGCAGATTTTAATGGACATGTTGTAGTGTGAACGAGGTAACATTTATGGAAGGATTCAGGGAAACCAGCTAGCCTGGAGGTAGCAAAGGCATTAGAATTAGAGGGTCATCTGAATTGTGATGTTAGCACGATTCTTGCAAGACAGCAAATGAGTGAATGATGGTGAATGCTTTTCCTTTTCTGGGTCCTCCAACCTTAGTGGAAGACAGCTGGTTAGGTTAAAAAAAAACTATTATCCATACTGAGCTTTTATGCCTGTGGTATCAGGGCTGCAAAACCTCACTGCCATTTTCTCTCTGTACCTATTTCCCACTACACATAGATGCATGGCTTGAGCCATGCATCTATGTGTAGTCTTTTGCATTTTTCCACTCATTTTTCTTAATTGGCACTGATGAAAAATCTCAAACATTTTGAAAAAATTATCAACAGTTTTTTCTTATTTCTGAAGGGTGTTTCAACGGTGGCAGAGCCTGCAAGACAAGGACACCACATGGCTCTCTCCTTCCAACATACAATGTGTTCTCTTACAATGCTAAGAGACCACATACCATACCTGAGATAGGTAGACCACCATCAATCATTTTTTAGCAAAAACAATTCTGCAAGTGTTTGCTTAATAAATACAGCATGTGGTTTCTTTGATTACACATACTCACCGCCTACTCTCTCCATAACAAAGTACTGTATGTATACAGCAAATTTAACACGGTTACTGAAATTGAGGAATGCCTGTATCTAATGTTATGTGGTCTGTACTTACACTTCATATCTGTATAAAAGTGAATGACACACTTATTACAGTAATACAGTAGAAAATACAATAGGCACAGTACGACACTCAACTACAACATTAATTTTCTAAGCTAGTAACTTTTTACTGTAGAAAGTACAAATACTGTATTCAAGTGAGACTAAACAGACCTTATCAATATCATCAAGAAGACCAGCCCTGTTGAGACGATCTTGATCCTTACATTTAGTTTTATCTCCAAATGGCTGAGCCTCATTAAGAAGACTGAGAACAAATAACATATTTTCAATAGCGTTCATAAAATATGATTTAATATAATTCATATAACCATACAGTATAAAAACTGTATAAATAATGACATGGAAAAAAACCACAGCATCTTCACAACTAATCCACAAATCAGAGATAAATTATTAAGACATTTCAATCCTTCATGATTTAATAAGAAGTCCTGGATGGAGAGATTTGTAGGTTAATTAGGAATTGTTACAGCCACGGTCATCTTGTGACTTATTTTTATAAGAATGTTATAACAGAATTCATGACTTACCTGACAATAGCTTCTATAGTATAATTCTGCATTTGGGGATCCATTGCCCAGGGTGATCCAATAGTTGTATGCACAACATGGTCAGTACCTCGTCTGTTGTTGTGACGAATGTTGTTGCACTGGGTACAGTATCGAATAGGCTTGTTGCCATTATAACTTGCACACTCCATGCTAAAGCAAGTTGCAATGGCATTCTTTTCAGAGGACCGGCAGTTCTGAAATTAGAATTTTTATTTTATTATTCTATAATTGGGAAGTACAATGCCTGCACTCAAAAGAAGAGATTTGGGATATTTGCTTTTCAGGGTGACATTTAAACTGTCGTATCTGCATGCCTCTGCGAAGACAGTGATAGTGTGAATGGCGGTGAAAGTGTTTCTTTTTCAGGTCACCCTGCCTCGGTGGGAGATGGCCAGCATGTTAAAAAGTTTTGTTGCAAAGTGATTCAAAAGGTACAACCAAAACTTCTGACACCAAATAAAAATCTTGGAAATACATGCTGCAACTCTTAAAAAAATTAACATGTGAAATTTTAGGAACACACCAAAAGATTTTTTTCCAATCAGCTCAATGAAATTCATGGCAGAGTAACACACAGTACTGAATATTTTCAGCTATCATTTTTTCAAATGCATTCATCTTTACCTGGAGTTTACCTGGAGAGAGTTCCGGGGGTCAACGCCCCGTGGCCCGGTCTGTGACCAGGCCTCCTGGGGGATCAGAGCCTGACCAACCAGGCTGTTACTGCTGACTGCACACAAACCAACGTACGAGCCACAGCCCGGCTGGTCAGGTACCGACTTTAGGTGCTTGTCCGGTGCCAGCTTGAAGACTGCCAGGGGTCTATTGGTAATCGCCCTTATGTATGCTGGGAGGCAGTTGAACAGTCTCGGGCCCCTGACACTTATTGTATGGTCTCTTAACGTGCTAGTGACACCCCTGCTTTTCATTGGGGGGATGTTGCATCGTCTGCCAAGTCTATTGCTTTCGTAGTGAGTGATTTTCGTGTGCAAGTTCGGTACTAGTCCCTCTTTAATATATTTCTTTATCTGGGAGCAACACAAATAAATGTACAGGAACATGAAGTTGAAAACAGCTGCTGCAACCAATATTATAGCTGGAGGAAGAGTAGGTGAATAAAATGCTTTTTAACATACTGTCGCGACCCCAAATCCTAGTGTCTCTCTGTGTTGCAAATTTTTCGAAAAAAAAAAAAAAAAAAAAACTTATGAAATGAAAAAAGAATCTTTCCCCAATGTTAATGACACCAAAAGTATGAAATCTGATGGAAAACTTACGGAATTAAGCTCTTGCAAAGTTAGCGATCTTGGCAATGTTTATGCATCAGCAATTTTGCTCACTTTGAGCCCTATTTCTGGCCAATTCCATTGTCCCAGTCAACCAAACTCAGTTATTTCTTTAGAACTCCATTTGTTCTATTGATTGAGTACAAGAAACTACCCATTTACCAATTTCAACTACCCAATGAAGTGGTCAGAAATTGGCAATTTGGCAATTTCACACAAATTAAAAAAGATACCAATTTCAAAATAGGGTCCAGAATGAACAATGCAGACATTCCTGACACTAAAATAACATTTTCTCTGTTCATCAGTCATGTCTTCAGGCCCCTCTTATATTACTCTTGCTTTCTATTTTAAATTTTTATTCACACAAAAAATGATTTACTGTTATGAAAGCTAATGCATTATTGTAATAATTGTATAAGTAATGTCGATTGATTTGTGACTGCATATCAGAATGGCTAATTGGACAATGACGTCATTTGTTTACTTTTGAACATCGGCAAAAATCGAACATTTCTGCTTCTTCGAGCTCAATTTCAAGGTGCTTTTCATCGTGAAACCAATCAAAATTATCACTATTTCTGTAACATGTCTTCCATTCTATCAAATGAGACCAAGAAAATGAGAATACAACCATAAACACTATACGAAAATACACCTCAGAGTCGGCGTTTTAATCCAAAAACACGGTCGGAGTTTTTTTTTGAGATACAACCAGTTTGCTGAAAGAAAGAAAGAAAGATTTCACCAAAAAATCATTACAACAGTTTTCCTTGAAGGCTTCAAACATACCGGTTTTTTTTTCTGTAAACAGGTAATTAATGCATGGAACTTCAATTTTTATCTGTTTTCGTGCCTTGTATACTAGCAAAGATAAATTTTCATTATTAAGCAATTATTTTTACAATCATAACTAAGTGATAAACCCACAAGGGTCAGTGGCTAAGATAAAGAGGGTCATACTATCTGTATTGCTTTGCGCTGATAACTTTGTCAGTGAATTTAATACTGATAAGATTGTTGGTATAGTGTGAACATAGAAAAGAGTAAGGTGATGAGGGTGTCAAATGATTTAGATAAAGAAAAATTGGATATCAAATTGGGGAGGAGGAGTATGGAAGAAGTGAATGTTTTCAGATACTTGGGAGTTGACGTGTCGGCGGATGGATTTATGAAGGATGAGGTTAATCATAGAATTGATGAGGGAAAAAAGGTGAGTGGTGCGTTGAGGTATATGTGGAGTCAAAAAACGTTATCTATGGAGGCAAAGAAGGGAATGTATGAAAGTATAGTAGTACCAACACTCTTATATGGGTGTGAAGCTTGGGTGGTAAATGCAGCAGCGAGGAGACGGTTGGAGGCAGCGGAGATGTCCTGTTTAAGGGCAATGTGTGGTGTAAATATTATGCAGAAAATTCGGAGTGTGGAAATTAGGAGAAGGTGTGGAGTTAATAAAAGTATTAGTCAGAGGGCAGAAGAGGGGTTGTTGAGGTGGTTTGGTCATTTAGAGAGAATGGATCACAGTAGAATGACATGGAAAGCATATAAATCTATAGGGGAAGGAAGGCGGGGTAGGGGTCGTCCTCGAAAGGGTTGGAGAGAGGGGGTAAAGGAGGTTTTGTGGGTAAGGGGCTTGGACTTCCAGCAAGCGTGCGTGAGCGTGTTAGATAGGAGTGAATGGAGACGAATGGTACTTGGGACCTGACGATCTGTTGGAGTGTGAGCAGGGTAATATTTAGTGAAGGGATTCAGGGAAACCGGTTATTTTCATATAGTCGGACTTGAGTCCTGGAAATGGGAAGTACAATGCCTGCACTTTAAAGGAGGGGTTTGGGATATTGGCAGTTTGGAGGGATATGTTGTGTATCTTTATATGTTTATGCTTCTAGACTGTTGTATTCTGAGCACCTCTGCAAAAACAGTGATAATGTGCGAGTGTGGTGAAAGTGTTGAATGATGATGAAAGTATTTTCTTTTTGGGGATTTTCTTTCTTTTTTGGGTCACCCTGCCTCGGTGGGAGACGGCCGACTTGTTGAAAAAAAAAAAAAAAAAAAAAAAAAAAGATTGTTGGTGGGTAGAATATTGTTCTCACTGATGATGTGTTTGGTTTTCTTGTTTTGTACACATCCATGTCTTTGTAATGCAGTTGGAATAGATGCTGTGTTTCTGCAAATAAGAAAACAAAGTTCTCTCCTGGCATAATGTGATAGAGAATTTTTTTTTTTTTTTTTTGAAACAGGCTCTAACTTGCACTTTCTACAAGAAATAGTACAGGACACTATTGTAATTTATCACTACCTTATGATAAATCCTAAAAACTTTATATCATATGAATAACTAAAGTGCAATGAACACTTGTCAATGCTCAATACTAACCCACATGGAGACAGACTCAGGAGATTAATTGATCTGTATATTTCAACCCCCTTCTGGAATCTTCTTCAGTATCTGCTGAAGAAGATCCCAGAAAGGGATCAAAATGTATTGATCAATTATGGCAATCTCCTGAGTTTCTGTCTCCATGTGGTTTATACCACATTTAAAGCACAATATACCTTGTTCTCACAAGTAGCTGAGACTTGTGCCATTGGCATAAGAATATCAAAGAACTCCACAGTGCTGTGCTCTCTCTTGATATCTTCCACACAGTCAATACATATATAGAGTGGTGGAGGATTGTCTGGACATGCTCCTAGACACACTGCATGATCATGACAAACTTTGACAGCCTCACTAGTGCCATCTCCGTCACACTCTTCAATCTGGCACACAAGAGGTTTCCAGCCTGTAATGAGACCTTTGCCTTAATTTTAAGAAGAAATATCAAGTCTGTTCTCATGTTACAAACTAAGACATTAAATACTATCACTGGAATTGATTTAGGTAAGAGTCAATTAGGTAATTACAGTCAACACAATATTCTTTGCCTGAATGATATTTGTAATCTTAATAATGTAAAATAATTCAATATTCTATACATCTAAATAATTTTATCAAAGTGGATGGGGTAGCTTTCAAGTATGGCTTAAAAATTTTAAAAGAATTACCTAATATTTTCCTACACAAATTTTTTTTGTATTTTCATGCAAACTGTCTCATTTCTGAGTCACTGCAGTTTTTGAGAACAGACATTGTTGAATGCTGAATGGCATGAGCTGAAGATGTATACAGAATATACTAAGATTATATATCTGTCAGTCATTTTTATGGAAGTCTATTACAAGTAAAAAGTCTACATTTGATAGGACTGAAAATAAACTCAACATATGCATAAGTTAAGTAAAGAATTTGAAGAACAACACATTTAAAAATGGCGTACATAGTTCCAAATACAACTCTAATATGAAAGTCTTAGTAAAGGAAGTTAAAAAAATTATGTCAATTAAGACTGTTGTTTTCTAATAGATGTATAAATACTGTACATAAAATCTTAGACTGAGACATCTGTATTAATGAATTATGTCTTAGAATATAACTATACTGTATAACCCTAGAAATAAAAACTCACCTACAAAAGATATGTTAGATATCCATGTAGTTTAGGTGACATGTTGCTAGGTAAAGAACAAGATGCAAGTCTCTACATGTGATCAACTTTAATACTCTACTTATTAACTTGGGATACAATACACTATTTTATTATGAAACTGAATATTATCATATGCATACATAATATTCATCAATTAGCCTGATAAATGCATTATATGTAAGTATCTATGTGTATATATATGTATGTATTTTTTGAGACCTGACGAGCTGCTGGAGTGTGAGCAATTTAACATTTTTAACATTTTATGAAGGGATTCAGGAATACCAGTTAAACAGACTTGAGTCCTGGAGGTGGGAAGTACAGTGCCTGCACTCTGCAGAAGAGGTGAGAATATTTACAGTTTGAAGGGACATCTGAATTGTGGTATTGGCATGCCTTTGGCAAGACAGTGATGGAGTGAATGATGGTGAACGTGTTTTCTTTTTCAGGTCACTACCTTGGTGGGAGACACCCAGCATGTTAAAATATTATCATTAATATTAATTTTTTTTAACACACTGGCCATCTCCCACCAAAGCAGGGTGGCCCGAAAAAGAAACACTCTCACCATCGTTTACACCATTACCGTCTTGCCAGAGGCACATAGGTACAACAGTTTAGATGCCCTTCCAAATGCAAATATTCCCACCCCTCCTTTAGAGCACAAGCGCTGTACTTTTCACCACAAGGACTCAAGTCTGGCTAACTGGTTTCCCTAAATCCCTTCACAATATATTACCTTGCTCACACTTCAGCAGCACATCAAGTCCCAAAAACATTTTGCCTTAAATCACTCCTATATAACACACTCAGACATGCCTGCTTGATGTCCAAGCCCCTTACACACAAAACCTCCTTTACCCCCTTCTTCCAACCTTCCCTTGGACAACCTCTACCCTGCCTTCCCTCCACTACAGATTTATACACCCTCTAAGTCACTCTATTTTCCTCCATCCTTTCTAAATGTCCAGACCACCTCAACAACCCCTCCTCAGCCTTCTGGATAATACTTTTTGTACTCCACACCTCCTCTTAATCACCAAAATACAAATTCTCTGCATAATATTTACACCACACATTGCCCTCAGACACAACATCTCTACTGCCTTCAGCCTCCTCCTCACTGCAACATTCACATGCCATGCTTCACACTCATATAAGAGTTTTGATACCACCTTACTCTCATACATTCCCCTTTTTGCCTCCATGGATAATGTTCTTTGTCTCTAAAAAGTCCTCAATGCACAACTCACCTTTTTCCTCTCATCAATTCCATACATACATACATACACACACACATACACACACACACACATACACACATACAGTATATGTACTGTATTGTTTAAGTTAGCATTATTGTTTGATGACAAAATTATTAAATGCAGACATTCCTTTTTATCCATAAAATTTTATAATTTTTTATATTTGTCAACTGTGGTAAAAAAATTATAATAGTTGAAGTATCACATAATGTACATTTGAACAGCATATCAAATGGAGAGAAGTCAATAAAGACAAGACTTATCTTCTCAAGATATTTATCTGCAAACCTGAACTCTGGCCTTTCAAACCTTCAGCAACACAACCTCTAACAATCATGTTCATTAACTACATTTAATACACTGGAAAACACAAAAATACGTAAGTCTGGAACATTCTGATCTGAGGTTCTTGTTGATAATAAACCAGCACTGATGTTAAACAAGCACTGATGTTAAACCAGAACTGATGTTAAACCAACATTGATGATAAAACAGCATATTAAAAACATCTGAGGTGTTACAAAGAATGACTGCAAATTCAACATCTTAACTATGAAAAATGCCATACAACAATACAGTATTTATACAAGTAATAAAATAATAACAACCCTAAAAATAACATTTGTATTATTTATACGGGCATAAACAGCTTTAAAGTACTGCTTACACAAGTTACAAAGTTAAATTTGCCATTACTACCATCACAGTCTCATTTTCACTTACAGTAATCATATGTATGCACATGAATAAGCTTCAAGAAATGCAAGAAACAGCTGTCATGACATTCACTAAATAGAAACAGGTCACCTGAAAAATACCTGGTTTAGAATATGTCACTTCCTACTGTAAAACCAAATAGATGAAGCCAAAACTAATCTACAGTAATGAGTTTTAATATGTAAGTAGTATAAGAGTCAAACCATGATTACCTCAGGCATCACATGTATACATGCACTCTCATGCAAAGGTTAAATGATACAAGCAAACTTTAATGCATACAGCAGCCATGCCCTTAGGATTATACAGCACCATTTCTAATACAGAAGGGTCCCGAATATACAGTACTTATCGGTGTTCTATATTTTCACTGGCTTTCAATTGAGCCATTGTTTCACCTGCCAGTGACTATCGCCGGTGGGTGGAATATAACAAACAATGGTTCAATTTGAAGTCAACAAAAATGATAAGAAGTGCTGTATATGCAGGGTCCTCCTGTATACCCAATTAAAGGGAGTCCCCATCTTACAAATTCTCAAAGTTACATACATCTATTCTTTACTTACAAAATGGGGAACTTATAAACTAATTTAAGCACAAAGAACAATGTGCAAAATATAATCAACCTTCGTACTATTGTTTTTCTAACCATAGACTTCTTCTTGGAATTACAATGTTTTTACATTGTAATTCCAGAATGTAGCTCATTTGTAAGCCTAAAATGAGTTATGTAACTCATATGTAAGTTGGGATCCTCCTGAGTGACAGTCAACTACTGAAATATGCCATCACAAAAAAATTAACAAACCATTAAATTAAGAAAACATGACACTAGTAGTATGTGTGAACAATGGTTACATGTTGGTTCATCAGTAATGCTCTAAACATTGTGGTGTTAAGTGCAATATAATTAAAAAATTGACAATAAAGTACACAAGCAAAAAGTGATGGAACACCCCCACATTGTATACCAGGTACCTGTCCATGATAATCAATAATAAACTCGGAGTTCAAACCTAAGCTCATTTGAAAAACAATTTTTAGAAAATCTTGACACACAAAGTAGGTGATTAAATGCAGTTGTCAAATTAGAACGTGTTAAATGCTCAGACCAGTGATCATTACACTGCATCTACACTATATACTGTACTTATAAGAAGACCTGAAAATGTTCTTATCCGAGTTTATAGTTGTGTTGTGTTAAGAAGCAGCACTAAACCCATAAGGGTTATACAGTGTCTGGGGAATGGTAGGTAATCAAGTTTGGTCTGAGAAGTGAGACGGATGACTCCAATTCCTTGGATCAGGAGTCTTTCACTAACATCACAGCACCCTCCTTGAAGGGAACACCTGTATACCCATATACTTGCTAGTCAATACAAATGATGTTTATCTCGCATATCCACCCCTACAGTGTGCACAAAAAATATGAAAATTACAAGAAAAAATTGAATAAAATTGTGGATATGTAACCTACAGTTTAGAGATAACAGATAAACAAAATTTTGAAAAAAAAAAAAAATCCAAATTGGCAAACATCTCTGACAATTTTATTAAATGCAAAGTGTGTAATTCCTGTACAGCCAATATTTTCAAAGGAAATAAAGTTTTTTCATTGATAATGACTTATGGCTGATTTTAAACTGCAGGTAATAGCAAGGAATTCACATTTTCTTTGTAATTACAGCTAGATACTTTTGCTCATTGTACAGTAAGAGTATGAAGTCACTGGTCATTCACATAACAGAAGTACAGTACTGTAATAACAAAAAGTTATAATGTATTGTGCTGCTGTGTCTTCAACTACTTTATTATTATTATTGTTAAGCAAAATTAATATGGAAGATGAAGTGTTACTTCAACGAAGAAAAAATAATGAAAACAAAGATTCTGGAAATTTCAGAAATGAGTACAGATGCTCCTCACTTTACGATGGTTCAACTTATGATATTTCAACTTTATGATGGTGCGGTAGCGATGCACATTCAGTAGTCATCAAACTTTGAATTTTGATCTGATGGGATTTAAGGCATTCAAAGATAGTGTTATGCTACTTCTGAAGCCTTTCCTAATCTACTGTAAAACTTTTTTTTTTCTTTGTACTGTACAGTACTGTACATAAACTGATAGGATAAACTTGTATTCATTTATTTACTTTTGAATACTGGTATTCAGTTGGTTACAATGATTACTTTTTCAGTGACAGTAGTTATTTATCACATCATATATCCATATTTGACTTATATTTTCAACTTACATTGGGTTCATCGGAAC